AGGAAGGAGCCTCCATTCCTTTTAACTTGAGGCTGTTACCTCTTGTCCAAATAACAGGTTTCCCAAGGCTTGTTCTCGAACCAGATGAGAAACATGAAATAAACGAATGCAAAATACAATCTTCTTCCTAACATCAACAAAAAACACTTTGAAGAGGGAATGCTTTGCAAGTGTTAATTAATAGGATTGTCATTGTGACTCCACATTGCCACTGCAGAGGAGTCAGGCTGCAAAGTGCAGTGAGTCACTGAGGACACACGTCTCTCTCTGGCTGTGATAGTTTTTTTTTATTGAGCATCTTGTTCTCAGCTGCTACTAGAAGCAGGAAATCTCTCAAAGCTGTGAAGAGCTGATACAGTTTGTGTCTTGAATTATTTATGCTTTTCCACCTAGTCCTGTGAAGAAATGCCTCCAGCAGCTCTTGTAGGGGGCCATTCCTGAATAAAGACTGAAACGGTTGCAAGGTTGTCACTGAGCAACAGAGGTAGTGGAGGCTGGGCTGGAGGACACCTCAACCTACAGCCTAGACTTCTTCCCCAAGCACACCAACCTCATGCAAGCACTTTCCTGCCTTGTCTCATCCTTTTCTGCGGACCCAGTAGAAGAAATTGCAGGACCCAGGGACCCCCTGCCTCTACTAAGTGTAGTCAAAGCACACCCCCACTAGTCTGGACTATGAGGAGCTTTTGTTTTTTTCCCTGCAAACCAAAAATACCAACTTCTTTTTTAAATATCTGGAAATAAACAGTTACATGATCCACTGAAATTCATAACAAAGGACAAATTGAATCCTTCATGCTGTGTAACAGCCATAAATAAAGGCTTTATGGCTGAGGAGTTGTAGGCAAAACTCCAGCAAAATTGGATTTATTCCCTTCCCACCCCCTGCACTATAAGTCTCTGGAAATGGGGGTTCCAAGGGCTTTTCTGACACAACATTAACTGCAGCTTCTTAAACCAGACTCCCTGCCAGTATTTACAGTTCATGTTCTGTGCATGGTATGTGTGTATATAACTGCACCAGCTTTTACAGTTGATTTCTCAGTAGTCATGTGAAACCAAAACAACTCATGGGCTGAGCTGAACTTGGAATCACTTGTGCATTTCTCTGATTTCAAAAAGAAAAAAAAAAAAAGTCTTACCTTGGTGTTAGGAAAAAGATCTCTTGATTAAAGTTGCTCCAATGTGGCCCAGCCTCTCTGAGTGTCATGGTCCTGCTCCCCAAAGCCACTGGCTGGGTCTCCAAGAGAACCCTGCAAGATGGATTTCAGAACCTGGTTGTACCATTCCAAAGCGAGTCGCTGCACACTCTCTTCTTACTAACACCTGGCCCTGCTTCTACTTGCTATCTGCTCCAAAACTTAGCCCTGAGGTGTCATGAAATATGTCTTTGGAGTAATGAACCAAGTCCTAAAACTGCAGTCCAGCCAGGCCATTCCTTGTTAAGGAAGAACAACTCAATTCAGTGGATTTAAGAGCTAGATTCTAATCAGGAGCCAAATATAGATCAGTAGTGGCAGTAGGTCACTGTGGGAAATGTATGAAGAAATGGGAAGCAAAACTCACATGTCAGTTTTGGATCAGCTGATCACGTTGGTTTGTGCTCCTTTCTTGCGTGCTTAGTATGTAGTCAAATATAGAGCTAAGATGAGGAATTTATTATATCTATTCTCATTAGGAAGTTGCCCAAACATCTCTTTTTAAAGAGACTGAGTAGTGCTTCTGCCCAAGGCAGGCAGATGTAGAGCCACCGACCGCTCTGCTCTTGTCTACAGCTTGTTACAAACGCTGAACAAAATGGCTTAAATTGTTGGGACCTGAGAAATGATATCTTTGAGCTCTGACCCTTCATAACCGAATCCAGACACTGAATGTCTCTGCTTCCACATATTTTATATGAAGCACCTGACACAGCAGCAACAAATAACTTGGGAATAAATCCAGCTGCCTGCAACAGTTCGCCTTCATTAGCCAAGCCAAAGGTCACCTTGCTGGTGTCACCAGCAGTGTCTGGCCACTACCGGGGCCATTGCCCACTCTGGATCTTAGTGAAGAGATCATGTAAAGAAAGGGAAGGTGGGGAGCCAGGCTGAAGGGCTCCCAGGGACTCTGTGGGGCTTTTTGCACCCCACAGTCACAGTGATATTCTAAACCTGTATGTGCTGCTTTGGAAATTTAGCACAACCCTGAAGCCCTGGGCTTGAGCCCCAGGTGCTGACATGCTAAAGCACAACAGATCCACTGAAGTCCTGGCATCTCCTCCTTTTTCTTAAGAGCTGCTTAAAATAAGCCCATTAGCCCAAAGTTATCAGCAGCACAGAGCTGCTAACTCAGGAGTCACTTCAGCTCCCAGGGAAGGGTAAGAGCATGTTTTTAATTACGGGCAAGCCCATGGACGTTGCAGTGGATAGAGGCACTCGACCCCTCCCAGTTCCAGGCACAAATGCTCCATTCCCCAAATTACTGCTGACTGGCCTGGATTGGGTTTTATTGCAGACAAGCAAGCCAATTCTTTGAGGGTGAGGTTAATTCAAGCAGCCCCATGTAGAGCTTTATCCTGCAAATGGTTAAATGCTTAACCATGCCTGCAAAAAGTAGTCAAGTGCAAAGCTGCCTTCTAAGGGTTTGTGAACCTCCTTTTCTTCCTAGTTTCTCCAGTATTTTTCCATGGTGGAAAAAAATGTAAAGGTGATGAACCTGACAATGGCTCGTCCTGTTTTCCTTTTAAATATAAAGCCAAACTCAAGCTGTTTAAGATTGTGCTGTCTTCATTTACAGAATTAATTCACACATCAAGATTCTATTAATTGGAGAAAACAGCAGATTTTTCCTAAAGTGGCAAACCTTACAATAAATAAATTTCAAAATATTAAAATTTAAAAGTGTGCTCCTGTTGCCTGGACAGGAGCAACAAACCCTTTGAAAACCCATGTGCACACTAGGAAACAAATCAGTGCATTAAATATGTTATCCAAAACTCCTGGACTTTCTTAGATGCTGGTTAAGGAATACAAATTCCACAGCATTAAGCAGGAAAAAGGAATAGATATTTTTATTTAAAACAGAGTAACTAAAAGTGGCCATAATAAACCATTTGTGTTGCTTTTGTACTTGGGTAATGAATGACTGTAGTATAAAGTACTCCTAGTTTTTGCCTCGAGGTCTTGTCAATCATTACCTGATAAATAAAAACTTCAAACAGGCTCCTTTTAACTTAATTGGGCAAAATTTCTCTCTGAAGGAGAGGCTGAATACAGAGAATAATGTGTTTGTGGCAGCAATGGAAGTCAGCAAGCAGGGTATTTGGATGGAAGCATAGAGAAGATGCAAATTCTGAACTCAAAAGAGGAGTCTTTGGGGGTTTTTATCTGTTCCCATTGCAGGCAGAGCTGCAAGGACTGAATCCAGCAGCAAAGGAAATCCCCCAGCCCTTGGCCTTGCTGCTGAGCTGCGCTTGCCCGAGTTCTGCTCTCCCTCTCTGGTTTTAGGTGTTACAGCTGACACTTCCATAACAATCAGAAATCTTAAAATTACACTAAGGCTTATTTAAATCATTATTTTTTATTATATGAGCATTGGCAGCAATGGAGGCAGTTTCCTGCGTGGGGACAAAAGGGTCCTATTGTCAGTACTGGAACAGATCTGAAACAGCTCAATTAAGCAAACATAACATCCTCAAAGTCTGGCCTGAAAGGAAGTTAAAATAACTGATCTATAAAATGTTTTAAATGTGCTTTAAAATGTCATTACTCAGATAAATTTAGCTGTTTTGAAGCTCGTTCACTAGAGTTTTATGGCCCTGCCAGTTTATGGCAGCGCATGTATTGATGTCAAGAATTCCTCTTCCAGAACAGTAGATGAGGAGACAAAGCCACGGGAGTGCTGCAGACCAAGGGGAGGCTGCAGCCGGCTTGGGAACAGAGTTTTGGCTCCCAGGCTGGGAAAGCTGCTCCAAAGCACATCCAGCAAGTTGTGTGTATTTGTGGCAGAGCTGGAAACCAACTGATATTTCACGATATAAGGCTGGACGTGTTGAAGTTAGTGGTAAAGCTGCTGTTGGCTGCAAGACTGGCCCTGCAAAGCAGCATGATTGATTTCTTTTATTTTTCCTCCCCTTTCTGGCACTACCCTTGACTTACACTGGATCTAAATGCAGAGAATTGGGACCATAATGAGAAATACCGGAGGATCCTTCTTCTAAAATTAGTCCAGGCCTGCAGAAGCCGAGGAGGTATTGGTTTAGCTCAGTAAAGGTCTTTCCACTGATGCTTTGCTGGACTTCCAAGCAGTGCACAAAGCAAATTTATTTATGAATTTGTAATTGCTTGTGGAAGATGGCAAATTAACTCCAAAATGCTGATGATTTAATCTTCTGGCTCAGCAAATACATCTACATAAACTGGCACTACTTTGCTCGCAGGTCAAAGTAAACAAGAACCCCAAAATTGCTGTTATGCCCCGAAGATACAAAGTTTAGTTAATAAGAGGGATTTAGCCCGTTATTTTTTTCAGCTGCCTCCATAGCAATGCAGTGTGGTATCCACAGTAGGAAACCTCATGCCAGCAGCATCTCTGAAATATGCTAAAACAATCTAAATTAGAAAATGTCAGCTTCTTGGCTGATGTTTCTTTGGAGTTTCTTTCTTCCTTTCTTGTGCCTCTATAATTTTATTGGGATGACTAAATCTCTGAACTATGTTAGCAGTAAACAGAACTAATTTACCCCCTGCTTCTTTGAAACAGCTGCTGACAGCTGCACTATAATTCAATCATGGATCTTTGCAGTGCAGACTGCAAAACACATTCATATTTTTTGTATTCTTCCCTCCCTGTTGTATTTGGACCAAAGGAGTTGCACCAAATAGCAACATGTGCTGGGTTTGCCCGTACATAGAGATTGAGCTACATGAAAACAGAGGCTCAAGATGAAATATTGTCCAGCCAAAAAGGTTCTTTGAATATCAGGAGAATAACCACACAGATACACAATGTCGTCGGGATATCTTTTGTAAAGTTGCAATGATTTATTTTACTAGTTCGTACAAAAAGGCTTCTGACAACTGCTCTAAGAAAAGAACCAGAAATGTGTATGCATTTTTGCCAACTGTTAATAAATATCTTCTTAAATAAGGAAACAAATGTGTTTAGGAACTGAGAATCATCTTTCCTGGATGTGATTGAAAAGGAATTCAGAGATGGAAATAAATAATTCTTCTTCCGCCTGTGACAACTATTTACATAAAAATGTACAAACAGTGAAGCTGATGTTGAGCCTAGCAACAGAAATCTTGTTATTATGTGTAAAAACAACAACAAAAAAACCAAAACAGAAACAATCCCCACATAATATTTAATATATGAATCCTATACAGCAAGATACTGTGGTCCAAGTTAAAAATGCAATACACCAACACAGTGACCACCAACACTGAAACACCCAAAAGAAACAACTACTCCTTGACTACTAAATAGTGGAAGTTTAGGCATGATCAGCTTTTAACTTTCTAGGCAGCACCTTCACTTCCTTTAGGAGGTGTATATACGTATGCAATGTCAAAAGATGCTTCCCATCAATGTGACTTCAATTCCCCAGCCTAAATAAGTGATGCACTGAGGGCAGTTTTGGCTGTTTATCAGGACATGGTCATGTCTGCAGGCTCTGCAGGAGCATGTCTGCATGTCTGCAGGAGAGATGGTCTTTTGGCTTCAGCTGTTGTCCTGCCGTGGGGCTGCCTGTAACTCTTTGGCCAAGGTCTCACCTTGGGTAGAGTCCTGCTGGTGGAACGTGCCTGATGCAGCCAGGTTGGTCCTGCAGAGGTTGGAGTTGCCCGGGTAGGATGCCAGACACATCTGCCAACGTAGCAACTGCTCACCCAGGCCCCGCTCCAAAACCTACCGACGTCGTGGGGGGACTTCCACTTTCCCATCAGCCTAACCCTGCTACTGAGAAAACTGCTGGGAAAACACCAATTGACTTAGATGAGATTAGAATTAGACCATCATAAACAAGTTTCCAATTTATTTCATAGGCAGTAGGAGTTTTTTTAGTTCCTTTGCTTATTCTTTTTAAAGTGAGGCATCTGGTCTGGATTTGATCTGTGACTTAAAGGGAGAAGAGCAGTGAGTGATGTCCCGAATGGGGTGGTTGTGTTCATTTATCTTCTTTCTCTAACTCTCCTCTAAGGCAAAATACAGAGCCAAGTTCCCACTGCAGCTACATTGCTGAGCAGAGACCCATCTCCAGGGATTTATTATGTCCTGGACCCATCTGTTGGAGGTTTAGGTTTTTGAAGTTTGGAGATTTAGAGCTGGGTGTGCTGCGGACCTGTTGTTTTATTGGGCAGAATTTTCTTTTTATCCTCATGGCGAAATTTATGCCAGTCCTCCTTTGGTAACCAGCCAAAGTGGGGAATTGGTTTGTGATTGGTTGCTGCAACTTTGTATTCTTCTTTGCAATAACTTTAATAGAGTTTTAATTACTTAAGTGTGATGTTTGTGTAACCTGTGACTTTTAAAGAAGGAAAAACAAGAGCCTTGAGGGGACATTTTGTTGCTTCTGGTTTCAGCTTCTTGGGGGCTCTTGAAAGGGATTTTTTTTTGTGGGTTTTTTTGAGGAGAAGCCAACAGAGCAGAGGGTTTATCAGAAGCACTGCCCCTGGGAAGGAAGGTTTCCCAGCTTGTTTCTAGTCTGTGTGGTACTGGGTGTATGCCCCAGCTTACAGCACCTTCTGCACTTGAGCCTTCATGTTCTCCAAAAAGTGCTGGAACTTGTTCCCCCAGTGAAGTCAATGGACATTTTCCAAACAGCAGTGGGATCTTTAGCTGGAGTACACAGCTCCATAACTGCTTAGGATACCCCAGCTAAAAGTTAGGTTAATCTCTGTTTCTCAGCATTTTGCTGCTTCGTGTTACAAATTTATAGCAAATTCAAATACTTTCTGGTTGCAAGAGGAAATTTCCTTCCCTGTCGATAATAAAAGTATGCCCCAGAAGTCCTGCTCTTTGGAATCATTTCCTTCAGTTCTTTTGCTTGCCAATTAATTATTATTTTCTTAGCCTGGTCCGTGCTTTGAATTTGTGTAAATCCACATCCAGCTTTTGCTACTGTATTTTAAAACTGGAAGTTGCACGTAATTATCTTTGGTTTTGCTCATGAAATTGAAGCAGAGGGATGGAAGTAATAATTCTCTAACAAAATACCTGTTCACTCCAGGTATATTTTGTTCAGTTATTTTATTGCAAACTGTGTTACAGGAACTACACACACTTATTAGTCACAGCACAGTCTCACCTCAGATAGATTATTACTGTTTAACTCACAATCAACACTGGTGAGTTTGCAATCTTCAGAAAGACTCATCTGCAAAAGTATGTATTGTAGGAGCCAATTTTGTAGGCAGATTAGGTTTTAAACCGTTTCTCTGGCTTGTTTCAGTTTACAAGCTCATTGTCTGCAATAAACTAAAACAAAATGTGTTCAAATGCCACTTTAGATCCAGAAACTGTTCCATTGTCTGATCTTTCAGAGGCCTGGTCCTAAAAACTGTTTGGGATTTTTTTAAACCCATGGCTGGAGCGCTAAAATTTTCCCCTCCCCCACATAGCCATACAAACCCACTCTTTACAAATAACTTTTTTCTTCCTTCTTTTTCTTTCCTACAAGTCTAATGACAGCCACATGCCCGTACCACCATGTTCCTGTATTTTTTTAAGATAACATTGGAGCTGTCATCAAAGTAGAGCACTGAGATGGCATTGAGTTGTGTAGGAGCACAGCAGGGTTTCGGCACAGTCTCTGGGTTTATAAAGTGAACCTGGGGAATGAAAGTAGAGGCATGTTAGGATTTACTTCTCCCCTCTCCTCCCCCAAGTTTTTCTTTCCCAGAAAACCTTCTGTCTGTCCCACGCCCTCACTCGGACATGTTTGGAACACCTGGCTTTGTGTACAAACATCTTGAGATGTCCCCTGCGTGTGCGGAGGCTGACGCATGCGCCCAAGGCTGATCTAGTTGGAAATCTTTCAGTGAGGCAGGTTTTCATTAGAAAACTCCCATTTGTCAGAGCAGTCAGTGTGTTCTGCAGTGGGTACCAGTTACGATAAACTCTGTGGGATGTGTGGGTGAGGTTTTGTTAAAAATCCTTTCAGCCCTGGACAGGGGACCCTGTCCCCGTGCCCAGCAGCACCAAGACCCAGTGGGGGCCAAGGGATCCAGGTCCCCTGTGCTCCAAGATGTGGGACCTCCAAGGTGAAGGGGGTAAAAGGCAAATAAAGACAATCTACCAGGAGAAAAACATGTAGATATTTCATCCCTTGGAAACAGTTGCTTCTAGTTTCCCTAACATTTTTTGCAATGTTGTCTTTAGATATGCACAGGACATGGGATATCGATGAGAAGGTACAGTGAGCCTCTTTGTGCCCTGCAGATGTGTGCAGGAGTCCTGGAGCCCAGCTGGGTAGGGGAAGGTGTCCAGGCAGGCAAGTCAGCTGGGGGTGCAGTGGCTTTGGTGACACAGCTGGGCTGGGTAGCCCCAGCCAAGAGTCCCCCCCAAACACAGGTGCTGTGTCACGAGCTCAGGGCTCCCATCTGGACAACTTTGCACAACTTCATAAAGTAAATACACAGCCCAGCTGCTCTGTGCATGTAACTCTGGGATTCACTGACCCCTTCCTCAGTCTGCCCCCAAATCCACATTCAGTGGATCCTTACAGAGCTCTTCCAAGGGATGCTGATAGTGGGTCTCACATCTTGCTCTTTCATTTCCATGCAGTGGGACTAAACCCCCATCATGATGTCTATCATAGGGCCCTTTCAAAGCAGAGAGAGCATGTCAATGCTTGCAGCAAAGACAGGGTAATTTTTAGCCAACTATTAATTCAGGCCACTTGGCCAGACATGTTGAGCAGATTCTGCAGGCATTGTATGAGCTAATGCAGACCTTCCTTCTTAGGTCTTAGAGCCTCTTTTGTGTACAAACTTCTTTCTGAACAGCACTATCAGATATAACCCTGTACCAGGAGCTACAGTGCACCTACCAGTGTCTGTACAATGGCATGGTTTGTAGCATTCATGTATGAGTTCAACGGGAAAGCACATTCTCCTTCACAGTAATAGGCAGCGTAGCCCTCCGGAGCGATGATCCAGTCCTTGAGTAAATTGAAGCCATTAGATTGTGGAGAAAGACAGAAATACTGTGCAGTGAAACAAAAAGCCAACCAGCACATAAACCTATCCATTCATACATCCATGTACAGTTGCAGTGGCCTGCAAAATAAATATCTGGCACACTGGCTTTTTTAATGCTCTCTTATAGCCCTCTAAAGCAGCTGCTTTTCCTGGAGGGACACATTCTACTTGGCAAATGTGCCCATATTGTAGCTGAACATCTGGGTTTAGTTGTTTATCCATTCAGCAGTGTCCTCCTGGCTGTCCACAAGGATCACTTCACCCAGCACCACAAGAGAGATACAAGCTTTCAGAAAGGAATATGTGTTTAACCAGGTCTAAAAGAACAGGTAGCTGAAAAAGGAGAGCCTTCAGCAGTGCCAGGGCCACAGTTGCTCAAAAAGACCTAAGGGTGTTGAGTTTCCAGCCAACCTCATGCTAAATATTTGTATACACAACTTAGCAGAAGCACTGAAGCGTGCTAAAGGCAATATACAATTTTTTCGCCCTGAGAATTATAAAAAAAATCCAGTTATTGGCTCGATCTCACTACTCAGCTGGATAAGTGATGTGCAAAGGCACCCCAGTGACACACAGCCCTTACCTGCCACCCCAGGTCCCTGAAGCTGACGTAGAGCTCGTGCTTCTTGCAGGCCTGTCTCTGGTCACTGCTGCTGTTCTCTGCATGGGGAGAATGGGTGGCCATGAGCTTGGGCTGCCCCAGCACCCACAGCCCCCAGCAGGGAGTGAGGCATTGCTGCTCATCTCTTGCACATGGGGCGCCTTTTTAACCATTTCAATTTTAGTCATAAAATTGCAGCATTTAACACACATGAAATGCCCTTCTGGCTTCTTGTGCAAAGCCAGAAAAGGTCTGGGAAAATAGCTATTTTCTTTTTCCTTTTTATTTTTTTCCCCTGACCTCCTAGTAGCAACACACAGATCTCTCTGATTATAGTCTACGACATAGAAGGACAACCTATGAAAAGAGTGATGGGGAAAGGCACCCTTTACCTATTTGCTAAATTCCTGCCTTTGAATCACTGCTGATAGTTGCACCTTCAGGTCTAAAAAAGCAACATGGGACGCTAAAGTAGTGTAGAATCTGCTTTTCTGTCCAGTGCAGCTGGATCCAGACTACAGACTCCTTGCAGTGGCTGATAATGATGAACCAATGAATAAAATCTGAATCATGGAACTGAACAACCATAACTCTTCATGCAGTTTTGAAACCGTGTGCCCATCCTGGACGTGTAGCCTGCCTGAGCTGGAGATCCAAGTAGAAGTACCACAAAGAATGGCTTGAGCAGAGTTTTTTCATGGAAAGGCTTGTCAGGCGTTGGAACAGGATGCCCAGGAATGTGGTGGAGTCACCACCCCTGGAGGAATTTGGCACTTAGTGCAGTGGTCTAGCTGTGAGGTGGTGATTGCTCAAAGGTTGGACTCGATGATCTTGGAGGTCTTTTCTGGCCTTAATGATTCTGTGATTCTATAAAAATACGACTTCAACTCTTGTTGTTGGAAGCTGTGTCTTCCTTTTTCTCCTGCCTCCCACAAGCTCTCCTTCCATTCAGTGAGGCTCTCACAGAAACAGAGCTGGAATTTGCTGCTGCCTCTGCAGAGTGAGCCCTGTGCTGTGGCTCCTGCTGGGATTGTCACCAAGGGCCTGTTACTCTGAGGTATCACATAATTAAGCCACATTTCTATTTCAAATGCCTGATGGAGTTTTCTTCCATATTAGGAAGCAGAGCTCCCCCCAGAATAGCTGTGGTTATCCTAAGAAAGAATAGGTTTTCCTCTTCCATGCAAGACTTTTGGGACTACTACACTCTTTGGGGGCTAAACTTAAAGTCATAAACTCTGAATATGGACAGCCTTTGGATTCAGACCCTCTGAAATATTGTTTTCATGACTTACTCATTTCTTTAATGTAATTATCTTCTATTTCAAAATGAGAATTTATTTCATGTGGGAGCAACAGAGTTCTTCTGGTTAGGTGGGTTTTTTTTCATTTGGATTAAGAAATCCCACAATTTAACGTTGCACCAACGAAACATTCTTTTTCTAACTTTTTTGAAATAATCCCTAATCCCACGCAGTTTCAAACCAACAACTGAACACTAGTGGTGGACCAAAGGGGCAACAAGCAGATGTCGTGGGAGAAACTGTTCCCACGTTATCCCACACCCAGAAACACAGACCCAGCAACCCACAGCGTACCTGCAATGTTTGACACCCGGAAAGCTTCCTGGTTCTTTGGCGTTTTGGATCGATTCTGGCTCCTCTGCTTCCCTCCCGTGGAGCGAATACTGCGGAGATGGACCTCGGTGGCTTTGAAGAAGGCGACAGTGAAGGGCTGCTTGTTCTGAGGGCCGTGCCTTCCGATGAGACCCGCCAGCTTGGGGTTGATGCTTTGCCCTTGAAGCAGAACAGACTGATAAGAGGGGCTGCAGCAGCTTTTCCAGCACGGTCAGGATAACAAGGAGGAGAGCTGCTGGCTGCTAAGGGTGATTCCTGTAGGCATTGATCCACCAAGGACCTGGACTTAAATGGCAAAGCTGCTTCTGACAAGAGCAGCTCAGCACAGCTAAACTTCATTTTATACCTGTGTGTAAAAGTTACATAAAATAGCCCTATATATAATTATTTTACCCTAAATCCGCTTAGCATTAACTTTTCCTGCATTCTTTAGAGGGGTTTCTTTAAGTTCACCAACCTATAATTTGAAGTGATCCTATAAAAGGAACCATAAAACTCAGCCCATAGGAACACTAAATTCCCACTGGAAGGTTATTAACTTAAAATAAAAATGCCTTGTATGGAATGCTGACAGAGTTCCAGATATACCTTAGTTGAAAAAAATCAAATGTTTAGAGACATTTTGCTTATTGCTGCATCTTGGCACTACCATATCTGATTGCTTTGTTGCAAAACTGCTGGTTACCATCCACGTGTCCTTCATCTTGGGCTTTAAAATAATTTGATTTTTGGTAAAAGACAATTAGGTGGTTTCTCTGTAGAATTAATTATTTACAAAAAAGGCAAGGAGAGGGTGGCAGTGGGAAATTTAATATTTCCCCCTGTTGCCTCCAAAGGATGTCTGGGTGCTGCTGTGAAATGCAGGAATGATATCCAGGATTATTCTGTTCCAAGCTACTGAGTGCTGCTGCTAAATCCAAGTTATGTTAATGGCTTTTGTGATCCTTTGCTAAGGACAGAGCTGGGCCTTGTCAGCCACAAATCAAATGTGCCAAAGGACAGCTGACACTTTCCTGGAGAAGCCCTGCAAGGCAGCCTGGCTGGGGAGAGCAGGAAATGGGCTCTCAGTCCACTGACAGAAATATCCTTACTCTGCTAGTTTCTGACTAATGTGTGAAAAGAAGCTGGTAACCTAAAATATTTCTCGGTGATATTCTATAGCTGCTCTTTTTAAGATGAGTAAAGTAAATGTCAAGGCTTACAAATTATTGTCTTTCTGGCACTGTTTTTGTTTTTCCTCTTGGATCTGTCCAAAAGATTGGTAAATATGACAGACCCAGAAAAGGGGACTCTAGTCAAAGCTCAAGGCCAAGAATGGACCAGCCTTGACTGCAGCCTATTTTATGTTTTTCTAAAACCATGAGGAAGTTCCAAGATCAGTAGATGGGATTTGTGAAGAGGGCTGGATCAAGAGGTGTTTAACAGGACCCTGGCAGCAGGAAAACTGCCTGGCATGGCCAGGTCTCACAAGCAAGATACGGCAAAACTAATCTGAGGACAGGGCAGCAGGAGAGCTTCGGTGAAAAGAGCAAATACAGAAACTCCTGGCCGTAGAATTATATGTGGACACTCATCAGCAACTCCTTCACCTTCTGCTTAAGCTTCTTTCTGGAAACTTGTCCAAATAGTTTTCATTTTAAACATTTGTGGCTGAGCCCACAAAGTGCTTAAGCAAGCAGTCAATGTTAAATATATAAGTAGTTCCACTTGTGCTCAGGCTTTGCCAGATCTGAGCCTTATTTCCTGAAAACAAGCTCACCTGCAGGCATTAGAGCTCACTGAATGCTGCCCCTTCAAATGAGCCTTTCTGCTTCCCAAAGCTGTTTAAACTAGCCCACAGCTGTGGCTTTTCCAGTGTAAATTATTTTACCTTTCCCATGTCTCTGAATAGAGCAGCAGTATGCATGAGGGGACCCAGCTTCATCCTGATGTTTAGTGGATTTGCACTAGAGCAGCAATAAGTGTCATTTGACCGGTCAAATACCAGTGTAACAGCAACACATCACATTCAAGGCCAGTATGGTGGCAGTGTTGCCTTAGGGGGGAAAAAAAGGTAATGCTCTGTTTGTGAAGTAGTATATTTCTTTTTAATTGAGTTGGGGAAAATGCTCTTTCTACCTTTCCTACCCACCCAGAAAGCAAGGTTAAACACAAGGACATGTGTGTAATCACCATTAGACAATGAAAAACTTGTCCCACAAAAGCAGTAGCTGTGCTCATGAACCAGAGGGCACAGCTTCATCTGCTCTTCTGAAGGTGATTTTTTAATACTGTCAAAAGTGGGATCCTAAGTACCAAACCAAGTAAACCCAATCCATGTGCTGCTGCTGAGAAGGGCCCTGTGGGTGCTGGGCTGAAGGCTACTGAGTCACTCAAGCATTTCTTCTGCTGTAGCTGTTCCCTGGTCTCAGGAATAAACAAAACCTCTTTGATTCTACCTTTATTATACATGTTGATAGACTTATTTGGCAAGATTATAAAGAAATACAAAGATCAGTTAAATTTGCTTATTTTGTATCAGTTCATCTGGACAGTGCTTGTGATGTCAGATTTTTTTTAAAATAACTATATTTGCTTCGTGATTACAGAACTCTATCTGTAACAACAGATACAAAGAAAAGTTGGGTTTGGTTGTGTTTTGTTTTTCTAATTCACTTAAAGCCTTGGGGATTGCCCAAGCATATAGTGTTGCATCAAAATCCTGCTGTTTGCAGCATATGATTTTCGTATGAAGTCCAGGTGTTAAAAGCAGCTTTTTTTGTTAGTGCACGCAATTGGTCTAAATCCAAAATGAAACTTGGGGAGCAAGGAAGGACATGTCCTTGCCATTCAAAATAGAAAGAAAAATTCATGTGTATGGAGGAGAAATGTGAGTGCAAAGGTGTGCTGCCAAGGAAATTAGTTACAGAAGACAAGCAGACAATCGGGTCCTGTATCTCTGTATTTACTTACTAAACACTGCAGTTGGATTTTCTAATTTTTAATGACAGGCTGATTAAAGTATTTTGTTAATCTGTTTGGAGAAAGCAGCAAGTTACTTTGCAAAGTGTTTGAAAAGGGGTTAAACTTGGCTGTCATTTTGCTTTACTGTTCTAACTTTAAGAGTTAAGATTAACTCGTATATCAGGTTGAATTTGACTCTTTATACAAACATGTCTTTAGGGTGGGGACCACTAACTTCCATGGTGAGGCTCCTTCTTTGTGTTTGGGTTTCTGCGTTCACCGATCACTCACAAAGGGCAGGTTAAAACCAACCCTGTGCACTTCTCTGTGCAGGTCTCACATGAGTTAAATCACCCTGTCATGTAAATGACTCTGTAGGTTGCCTGTTTCAAAACTACTTTGCACAGTCTTTATGCAAAATGCTACTTACTGGAAACATGCAGAATGTTGCATAAAAGCCAGGAGCAAGTGATATCATAGACACAGTTAGCGGAGAATGAAATTATGTCCTTAGATAACTACATCCGGAGTATTTATAATTTTGAGCTGGTTTTTGCTCAACCATTCCTGTGGGGCAGCCAGGCAGTTCCAGGTGGTCCCAGGTCCTGGGAACCCCCAAGAAGATCCAGGATACTTTGGTTTCCTTGCACAAGTCTCCAAGTGAGCATGAGGGATCTTTATGTTAAGACAAAGTAGCGTGACTTTTTAGTTAAGACCTGATTAGGGAAACTCCCCAGCTGATTCTAAACACATCCTTTCTGGAGATGTTTCAGAGCCAGGTCTTCCCACTCATTCCCAAACCTCACAGATTTGTACCATACACTGCAGACCTTGGAATCCAGACCATGCATGACTTTACCAGTAAGTTCTGCTGCCACAAAGGAAATTAAAATGGTTCCTAGCTGTCTTCTGAATTTGAAAGGCCTTCTGTGCCAACTGACAGCAGCCTTCTACATCACTCAGTTGTGTCTTCTTGCACATAGCAAAATTTATTCCTCTCTCCTTGACTGGATTGCACTACCTGCAAATTAGCCAAGCAGCATATTCTTACCTTGATGGGGATGTGTACACAGCTAATACTGGAATTACTGCAGGCAGGTCACCAATCTGTTACAGCATCTGAGTACATCCTTAACCTCAAATATGTCTAGGGGCTATTTTTTTAATGCTACTATTATTTCCACCTTAGGCAAATTCAGGAAAAACGTGCTTAAGAAATCCTGTTCAGAGGAAAGAGTGATGAATGCTTAGGGCTTCCCCTGGCTGGGACTCAGGTACCTGAGACAGAGGCTCATTGATTGCAGTTGGTGTCTGATGTCTGACACTCACCATCAGTGCCTTCCACGGAGAGCTGTAGGCCAAGGTTGTGTTGGGGATTCACCACCCAGTGATTGCTGGTTGCAGTAATGTCAAACACCAGCCACCCTTCCTCTGCAGCCCAGATCGTTCGAGAGTCGAGCAGGAACAAATCTGAATCCCTGAAAGAAAAGAAGCATAATTCCCATTTACCCAGGCTTTCCACTGGAGTCTCTTTAGGCAGTGTCCTGGGTCAGCCTTTCAGTGATATCTTGCCCTCAGATGAAGCTTCTTTTCTCTTCAAAAAAGGGAGAATGGCTTGAAGCAGATTTGAGGTGGTTTTGGGTTACTTTGCTGTTACAGTTACCCTTAGAGCTCCTGATGCAGCTTCAGAAAAAAGGCTTGCCAGGCACAGATCTGCAAAATTACTGTTTGCATATGTAAACCTGGTAATTGGGCAGACAATGCTGCTCATTAGCCTTTCCACACATAATTTTCTGACTTTTATGCATAATTGTAGCACTGGTGCAAGCCAGCTGGAACACTAGTGTGCATATATTAACATAGGTAATGGTTTTTTAAATTTGTTTGTCTGACGTTACAGATAACTGATTGAGACTGCTGCACTGCTGTGGGTCACAACTTTCTTTCAATTCATGGCTTGTTTTTTTTAATGATCACCATTTAGTTACTCCAGGTAAAGAATTAATACAAGAAAATAAGACAGATCTGCAATACAGAGCATTCTGTGCATTTGAAGGGTGAAATCAATCTGGATTTACAAAATGTTTCCTGGCAAATTTTTGAAAAATGAAAACTAGAAAACGACAGGTTCTGTAAGGGAAAGAATGTGTTATCAGAAATCAAGAAAGAGATAAAACTTAGATGAAAAAAATGCATAGTGGTGCAGTTCCTTCATAAAAAAGACTTTACAAGAAGAACAAAGGCACACAGTGGAAGTGTCTAGACAAGCCCTGTAAGAGCTGCTTTTGTACCTACGGTGCACAAACACGGTAACTTGTTAAAGTGTAATTATATCCTTTTGAATGAAGAACTATCTCTGGAAAACCCTTTAATCATGTCCTCAAAGCTTAAAGAAAACCTTATGAATTTTGTCACTATGGATTTGTCAGTGCAAATATATATATTTAGCTTAGATTACACAGTGCCTCTTCTTTACATGGAATATCAAGTGATCAGAAATGAATCTGAGAAGTATTTGAGGCATAGCTTTTAGTGATTCTTTTCCCTGTGAGATACCAAGAAATTGGAGGCTTTTGTCCCACACAAAACAGAAATGGAGGGGGTTTTGTAATGCTTTTACTGTCTAGCTTTGCTTTCAACCTTTGTGAGCCAGAGAATATAAGAGATGATGCATTTCATCCGTGAGCTAATGGGTGTCACTGCCTCTGACTCCGTGATGGCTTAAATGAAGTTAAATTTCTGAAATTGGTTCCTGCAGAGCACCTGAGCATATGGCCTGGGGTGTGTAAGAGGATGACTCTGAGTTTCCTCCCTAAAGCAGGATCCCTTTGGATACCACACGGCTGAATGTGCAGATCCAGCCAGTGCTGCTCAGGGTGCAATTAGTGCTTTCTTTTAAGCAAAGTTTTGGGTTGTGGGAGAAGCCCTTCATCAGAATTGAACTTGCTGAAACGCTTGCTACCGAAAGGGGATCCTGTGGGGAGTGTTTGGGCAGCCCAGGTGGATGGCTCAGGAAGGGGCTGTGGTGCAGTGATGGAGAGGCTCAATGCAGGTGGTGGGAGCTGCTCTTCAGAGCTCAATCAGCTTTGCTGGGTGCCCTTAGGAAAACTGAAGTTAAATAATATGGATAACCCCCTCTCTCCATAAACACATTAGTTACAGGAGTGCAAGATGCTTGAACTCCAACGGGGCGACAAACTTCCTGGGGTTTCATCCCCACCCAGGAGCAACGGCCCTGTTCCCACAGCACATGACACAGCAGTGTGGACATCTCCCACCCTTCCCTGTTTACAACACACTGAACAACACACATCCCAGAGGAGCCAGGGATGAGGGAGTAGTATGGATTGGCCCGTTCCAATGGCTGAGGCCAAGTTTCCAGAAGTAAAGAGTTTTTATATTCACGTACTGCACTATTTAAGCATGGCCCCCAACTGGAAGTCATGATTCACACAAGGTTTGGTTCATAGGGACTTGGCTTGCTTGGTTTTCCCCCTTGTAGTCTGCAGGTTGATGATACTAGCAATAATGATAGTTTTTTTGTTTTTAGCTACTGCTCAACTGCAGTATTATTACTCAGAAAACCCAGCCTTTAAGCTTCCCATGCTGACATGATGCAATCGGGGTAACCAGACAACATGAGGCATCAAGTACCAGGGTGAGTCAGTCTGGGAAATTGTATAATGCATTTGTTTTCCTGTAGTTACAGCAATGTGCAAACAATAGGCCTGGAGGGGAAGCCTGAAGTGAGAGAGATCAAAGGGACCCACTAAAGGGAAATGTCCTTCCCACACACACACTTGGAACATTTGGACCCCAAAAAAGCCCCAGGTCAGATGCTCTTTGGAGAAGTTCAAGCACTCCTGGATTAGCACTTTCCACTCTGGCCCACCAGCAGTGGCCAGGGATGGGACGCAAAACCTGACTGGTGTTGCAAGCAGAGGCTCCTGAGATTGACTCCTGTTCCAATGAAAAGAAACCTCTTGTTCTTTTAAAAAGAACAGCCTCCCTTTAAGTGGAAAGCCCTACTCTCCAAAGACGGGGCAAACAGTGTTAAATCACCAGCTCATAGACAGCAAGCTCTTGAGATATCATTGTTGGACAAGACATGGTAAACAAAGCAAAGAAATGTTATTCTGCTTAGACTTAAACAATATGTGCTCTGAGGGCTCACATCTAATGACGTGTCATAGGAGATAGTGCTAGTTAAGTCTAACTGATGTGGCTGGTTTGGGTTTTAGCTTTGAGATAAAGATCTAAGCACAAAGAGAAAAAGTTTCTGGTGCACATCTCACTCTGGTACCCTTCCTACCAACTGTACTCATAGAGTGTTCTTGGAGCAATGTAAATAATGGCTCTGCAACAAGGAGGCAGAAAAGCCCTTTGATTCCTTGGCCCTGCATTCAGTCCTTTCGTTTAAGAACTTCAGTGCACGTAAGAAACTGTACCGAGCCTTTTACCAGAGCGAGGGATAGGAAAGGCACATGATACTCCTTTTACAGAAAATTAAGATGGGACATGGAAATGTTAATGCCTAGATTAGAGTTACACAAATTATGAAATCTGGATCCAGACCACAAGTATGTTTTGTTGAGACCACATCAAAATGGCTCAGCGTTCAAAGTAGTGACATCAGCGGGAGTGTCAGAGCTTTTAGCAATGATAAAACACGGGGCTTTCAGCTCAGTTTTCTCAAGCATCAGGCTGTCAGTGGAGTCTGAGATGAGGACAGGAGGTTGGCACTTGTCTACTGATGGCTTTGGTAGTGTCTGGCAGCAGATGCCAGAAAAGAGAGTCATCTCCCATTAGAAAGCACTCCCAAAAATTTGTCTACAGGTCATATAACTGCTGTGTGGTCTGTGAAACTTCCTTAGTGAACTTGTTTTTTGGACTCAAGGGTGAGTAACAAGCATTGCAAAGTGAGGGTGGCTGGGCAGGATGCATGTGAGATCGTGTCTGGAAAGCAGCTGGAGTTATAGAGGTGGAAGGGCTGGAGCTGCCAAAGGGCTGTAGAGGGCTGGTGGCAGGAATGCAGTTAAGAAAAGAGATCACAGGTGTTTAGTGGAAGGGAAAAGGACTGGAAGAAGTGGGGATGAGGGGAGAAATAAGGGAAGACAAAATACAGAAAGGACGAGTAGAGTATTCTGGAAGGAAATAGTAAGGAAGAGTTACCATGTTGCAATATGGTAAAATAAGAGATTAACAACCGTGAAGCTTCATGAAAATAGTATGTATGGGCTCTTTGCCTTTTTGTTGGGGTACTTTTTCAATCTCTAGGATGCTGTTTGGTTTGAAGCCATAAACACTAGAAACATATCCAGAGATGAGAAGTGCAGTATCTCCCTTAATCACCTGCCTTGATGATTTGAGGCACGAGGAGAACACGGGCTAGGAAGAGAGATTCACTGAAAACATGAGAGTTGGCAATTATGCAATAGCAAGAGAACAGGAGATGAAACTGTATTTATAGGCTATAGTGGTGTGAAGTCTACACTGCTTTAGGACAGTTCTCTTGCCAAACAGTCCCTGCTTTAGCGTCTGTTTTCTTCACTCGCTTTCCCCATCCCCCTCATCAGCCCTGTTATTTTAAGCTGCTGGTTGACAAGTGGTAGTAAATACTAATGAGCACTTCCAAGTGGGATAAAAATAAATGAGAAGGAGGACAGGCAGCAGCAGCAAAGGCGACTCAGCAATTTTCATTGCACTGCAAGACAAGGTGATTTCTGTGACATGCCAGCACTCTGGGTTGGGAGCAGCTTTGGAGTCCTGGCTCACCTGGCCATGTCCTTGCAGCAGCCAGGCCAGGGCCACTGCCAGCAGGTCCTGCAGTCCCCTGCCTGCGTCAGGTAATCCACCAGCCCAAAGAGCACACTGAGGCTATCCAGTAGCTGTGCTGCTTGAATCCCTACCCAATAGTTTGAGGAATTATAGATATAACAGTTTTTTAAACAATAACCACACAGTGACACCTTGCAATAGATTTTGAACAGCTTTACAAATAGACAGTCAATCCTCCTGCTTCTGTTTTAAAGTGGGAAACACTTGAGGCATGGATATGTTGAATGTCTTATTGATTCAGCATGCAAACCACAGCCTCTAAGACAGGAGCATAATCCTGTCCTCTTGCTGGGTATTCTAACCATAGAGAGGCTGTTTAGATCACAGGCATGGTGCAAGTTTTCCAACAGGCAGCCCAAGGACAGAGTTAGGCATGGGGAGTTAGGCAATTCATGACCAGGTTTGAGCAGGTGGAGGGAGGAGAAGGCAGAGAGGGCATCCTGGGAGGGTTAGAAGACATCTGTTTGGATTAAAAACCTGCAGTGTCCAGATTTCAGTTTGCTCGGTGTCATTGCTTAAAGTCAGCTGCAGCTGTACAAAGACAAGCTTAGGAAAATATTTTTCAGACTTTCCTACTTTGAGAGGGCCCCAGGATCTCCCTGGGCCTCTCCCTGGCACGTTTGCAACACCCTCTGTACAC